TACATCGTGAACAGCAAAACAGCAAAGCAGCCATGCCATCAAAATTTCAAGTTTTTCGTGGTCAAGGCTTATCCATGGAAGCCTTTGAAAAAATGAAGAAAACGAAAGGTGGACTTATGTCGTTTAATAATTTTTTGTCGACAAGTCGTAATCATGAGATTTCTTTACAAAGCTATGCACGGCTGGCAGCATTCGATGCCGATTCGGTTGGCATTCTCTTCATTATGAACATCGATACGGCTATTTGCACAGCATCATCAACACCTTTCATCAACGTCAAAGATATTGGCTTCTTCGACGATAAAGAAGAAGAAATTCTATTTTCGACACATACAATTTTTCGCATCGATCGTATAGAACATATTGAAGATAAGCATACAGATCGTCTCTGGCAAGTCGATCTCACCCTTGCTGGTAATCAAGACGATGATTTTAGCAAACTTACAGCACATTTACGCAAAGAGCTAGACTTTGTGGGAACAGGATGGTCTCGACTGGGTTTTATTCTTATTAAGTTGGGTGAGCCTGCAAAAGCAGAACATCTCTATCAGCTACTCCTTGAGAAGGCATCTTCTGATAGATACAAAGCGCAGTATAGTGGTGAACTTGGCACTGTGTATCGAAGGATAGGAGAATACTCGAAAGCAATAACATTTTACGAAAGAGCAATCGATATCTACAAGAAAATGAGCCCTCCTAGTGAGCTCAAGTTGGCTATTTCCTACAACAACATCGGCAATGTGTATAATAACATGGGCGAATACTCGAAAGCACTTTCATCGTATGAACGATCACTTGAAATCCGAAAAATAGCTCTCCCTCCAAATCATCCCGACTTCGCTCAATCCTACAACAACATCGGTTCGGTGTATTATAACATGGGCGAGTACTCGAAAGCACTTTCATCGCACGAACGATCACTTGAAATAAAAAAAATAACTGTCCCTCCAAATCATCCCGACTTCGCTCAATCCTACAACAACATCGGTTCAGTGTATTATAACATGGGCGAGTACTCGAAAGCACTTTCATCGTACGAACGATCACTTGAAATCCAAAAAATAGCTCTCCCTCCAAATCATCCCGACTTCTCTCAATCCTACAACAACATCGGTTCAGTGTATTATAACATGGGCGAGTACTCGAAAGCACTTTCATTGTACGAACGATCACTTGAAATAAAAAAAATAGCTCTCCCTCCAAATCATCCCGACTTGGCTGCTCCCTACAACAACATCGGTTCGGTGTATAATAAGATGGGTGAGTACTCGAAAGCACTTTCATCGCACGAACGATCACTTGAAATCAACAAAATAGCTCTCCCTCCGAATCATCCCGACTTGGCTGGTTCCTACCTCAACATCGGTTCGGTGTATGGTATTATGGGCGAGTACTCGAAAGCACTTTCATCGTACGAACGATCACTTGAAATCCGAAAAATAGCTCTCCCTCCGAATCATCCCGACTTGGCTTCTTCCTACCAAGGTATCGCTTTGGTGTATGCTAACATGGGCGAGTACTCGAACGCACTTTCATCGTATGAACGATCACTTGAAATCCGAACAATAGCTCTCCCTCCGAATCATCTCGACTTGGCTGGTTCCTACCAAGGTATCGCTTTGGTGTATAATAAGATGGCCGAGTACTCCAAAGCACTTTCATCGCACGAACGATCACTTGAAATCCAAAAAATAGCTCTCCCTCCAAATCATCCCGACTTGGCTGCTTCCTATAACGACATCGGTTTCGTGTATTATAACATGGGCGAGCACTCGAAAGCACTTACATATTATGAAAAGGCGGAAGACATATGGAAAAAATCACTACCTTCAAATCATCCACATATTGCACTTGTGAAAAGAAACATTGACAATGTAAAAAAGAAAATGTAATTGTTTTTCTTTTAAACAAGAAAATAAATTGGCCTTCTTGAACACGTTTGGGGTGGGTGTGGGTGTGGGTGTGTGGGTGTGGGTGTGGGTGTGGGTGTGGGTGTGGGTGTGAGTGTGGGTGGATCTTCTCTTCAAGAGAACCTACACCCACACCCGCCCACACCCACCGATCAAATTCTTGCTCTTGCTGCTTCGCTGTATTCAATATCTGGAAGGATATACTTGTGCCATTTTTCTTTTGTGGAACAAAACAAAGTCTTCTCTTTTTCTTTTTAGATAGTCGAGCAAAAAGACAATGTTACAATGAAAGTATCATTCAATCAATAAAGTGTACTGAAGAGGTTTCAAAAAAACCCATGAAATGGCTTTGATATCAAAATTCAATTGTTTGCTTTTCCGAAGGATTTAACAAGAGATTTTTACCATTGAATAGAGTTTAAATTTTGAGTCACCTAAGTTCCACTTCAACACACAAGTGAGTGGAATATCCTATGAGTATTTATAGTTATTGTTGATCTATTCATTCTAACTGAGGTATCGTACTGCAAAAGATGCGAAAAAGATGTTTTATTTTTCCACAACTAAATGATTCTTTTTAGAAAAGATCTGTGTTTCAACTATTTCATAAATATCCAAGATGAATAGAAAGATATTTATTGAGCATACTTTTTTGAGATAAGAACCTAGATCCGCAAATACCAGATAGCTGTTTCACTCCTGGCTATATAGCAGAAACATAATCTTTGGTCTTGTTAATTTGTCCAGATAATTTTTTACAGCTCAATATCTTTCTTCCTTCATCAATAACGTATGATAAAGCGAAAATAGTTCCGTAAGATCTCACGAATTCCATGGAACTCCACAAACTTTTGGGGTCCTGGGGTTCCGCGAAATCTCGGAGTCTGGAATCCGTTGTTTCCCTCTCGTTCTTTTCAGAGTATGTGACCATAGCAGACCACTGTTATTCATTGACTCCTACTTGTTGTACGTCTACCAATTAAGACACACAATAGAGAATACAAATGTAACGAGGTAGAGGAAGGCACTAATTACCTAATGAGACCTGCAGCAAGGCCGAAACGCGTCATAGTAGGTGTTTGATGCCTTTTCCAATTGTATCTCTTCATTCGTCATACTTACCCTCACACCATCACATAAGTGAATTCGAATGCCTATTGAATGTGCTATGTCGAACGAATCGAAAATTGAAATTGTTGCATTAGGACCTTTTTCTTGCGCGTGTTAGTTTTTACGGTTGAGTTTTGATTTTCTCCTTTTTTTTTGTTTTTCAAGGCGGCGACTTTGGACGGAAGAGGAAGAAAATGGTTGTTTGTTCTTTTGTACACAGGCCTTGTTGTTTTGTGATTTTATGATAGTGACTCTGGCGCAATAGGAGAAGCGAAACACGTGTGCTTTGAAGGCATGTACATCGACATGTATCTCATTCTTGCATTTTATGGTTGGTGTCTTTTTGCACGATGCTGATGACGAATGTAGGATGGGATGACGTGTGCATGGGAATGATCGTTCACAGTGTTAGTTTGAATTCTACTGAGTAATACCTTTTTGAATATTTCGACTCCGAGCTGGAATCAGTGCAGCAATTAAACCGGTCCTTTTCCTTTCTCACAGAAGCGGACGTATAGATCGATATTATTCTCGTAGTCCGATTTTGTGAAAAGGAAAGACAACGGGTTAAATTACTAAATTGGTTTCAGTTCTGTTTCGACTAAAACCCGCCTGAATCCTTCTTAATCGCATACAAATTCTCAGCTAAAATATAGAGTGACTCAATAAATTTTGTTTGCGTTCACTCTCAGACAAAACACTAACTATGTGAATCGAAAAAAATCTGGCAACAACTTTTTAGCTTGATTTATTCCAAATAATCTTCTAAGCACATTATCAGATCGAATAATTAACGAATTTTCAATCATTGACATTAGACAAGTGCACCATAGCACTCCTGATCATAACATTCTTCTGTTGGATAAGTTTTCGGCACGATCATTGTTTGAGTGGTCAAGACCAAGTTTGTTGCATCACGTCCATGAAATGTCGCTTGAATGAACGCAGCTTCCCAATAGCCACTCGGTATGGGCAGAGTAATCGAATAAATATAATACGTATCACTTTGCTCCTACAAGATTTAAGCATGAGATTATATATCTATGTACATAGCTCATCAATCCACATAAAAAGCACCAGGGGAGCATTAGTGATTTCCAGTGCTAGTGGCATATTATGAATGATTTTTCGTTAGAAAAAATCATTAATGATCACTAATCTTTCATTAGAATAACGTTAATTTTTACAATGTTTTTTCGAACTCATTGCTTATCACAGTATCAATTAGTTCCGTTTCAAGATTCGAATATTGTCAATTTCATTACCTTTGAAATCGATAAACTTATTGCTCGATTAAAATTTCGCGTTCATACTTGATAGACATGAGTTACTCTTTTGTCGTGAGATCTTTCAAACAAGCTTTATTGATTACTAGTGATTTTTTCGGCAAGTAATCAATGATAGTTAGTATTTTGGAAAAGATTAGTGATTTTTCAGACAATACTTAGTAATAATTAGAGGTGGCACTTTAACTTTACTTTAAAGGTAAAGTTTAAAGTACGACTTTAAACTTTAAAAGTTAAAGTTAAAGTAGTGCACTTTAAACTTTAAACTTTAAAGTTAAAGTTAAAGTGACCATACTTTAAACTTTAACTTTAAAAAATTTAAAGTTAAAGTAAACCTTTTCCTATAAAACAAAATTTTTCTTAAAAATTGATAAAAATGAATAAACATTTAAGGACCCATAACTCTTCATGCGCTATGAAACGAGTGCATCCGTAAGTAATCATCAACTATGTATTGGGACTACCTTTGGGTCATCAACTACTGTATATTGGGGGTACCCTTGGGTCATCATATACTGTATATTGGGAGTACCCTTGGATCATCATATACTATATATTGGGGGTACCCTTGAGTCATCATATACTGTATGTTGGGAGTACCCTTAGGTCATCATATACTGTATATTGGAAGTACCTTTGGATCATCATATACTATATAGTGGGGGTATCCTTGAGTCATCATATACTATATATTGGAGGTACCCTTGGGTCATCATATACTATATATTGGGGATACCTTTGGGTCATTATATGCCATATATCGGGGGCACCCTTAGGTCATCATTTACTATAAATTGGAGGCATCATTGGGTCATCATATACTATATAATAAGGGTACCCTTGGATAATCAACTACTATATAAAGAGGGGTTTCAAAGATCATTCACCGGGATATAGGGGTGCTGTCCATACGCCATGAACTTCTATGTAATGGGGTGGGTCTCAATAGTTCACGGACTACTGTATAACAGGGTACCTATCGATCATCTGGTATTATATAATGGAAAGATTCATTAACTTTCGAGTGCTATAGAAAGTGGGCATTCATTACTATTCGTGACGTTTATCGTAGAGATACGCATAAATAGGCATATAGTATCGGATGCTGGTACTCATTTTTGTGTATCAACTATAAAAGTGACCTTTTGGTAGTTCGCCACGAACTGTGTAGAGATAGTTTACTTAACTTCTCCTATGGAATGTAGAGATTGTTTCTCATATTTCTTCAGAGCTTTCGGAGAGGAAGTAGCTGGTTAAAGATAGCACTCTGATGTTTGTGTGTAATTTTCGTGTATGGAACGTGTGTGCGTTCGTTGAGTACATGTTCTCTTCACTTATGGTTTAATAGCATCACGATAATCTTTTATATTGATTGAAATCACTCTCCACGCTTTCTCCATCGATCGCCGTTTTAGAATTTTAATTTCAATTGTGTTACGTTCTTTGTTTTATATATGAGAGTGACGTCTTTCAAAGAATCCGTATATCCTCCGTAGACGTGATCCGTGCCCTGTATCTGTGCTTGTTTAAATAGCGCGATCGTGTATGCTCTGGTAGCACAGATATGTAT